AAAAAAGAAATCGCTTTATCCAAAGCGAAGGAACAGCAACGTATTGAAGAACTGAAAATCCGTCACGAGGAGGATGTTTGCAGACAGTTGAACAACTTGAGGAGTGAGCTGGAGAAGTGCCACAGAAGGGAGGTTGCAGAAGCCAAGCAGGTGTATGAAGATGAAACTATTTTAAAGTATAAGAATGAACTTGAACAGTTAAAAAAAGAACTCCGTGCTTTGAATTCTGAAGAGCACATTCAGAATTTGAATGGTATAATAATTGACTTAAAAATTAGTCTTCAGGAGTCTGAAATTAACAAAGAAATTTTGGAGAGGAAACTTGAAAACCAACAGGAAGACTTTTGGAGGGAAAAAACTGAGATTGAGACTAAATACAAGGATGTAATTGGTGGCCTTAAGTGTCAACTTTCTGATGCAGAAGAGCAGGTTAGGGAGGCCCAGCAGTACAAAAAAGAAAACCGGTCCTTGAACGAAGAGATTGACAAACTGAATTCTTTCATCCAGGAGTTAAAGGAAAAGCGACTTAATGAGACTGAATCAAGTACAGATGTAAGGCAACAGCATGATGGAGAGATTGTCTCCAATAACAAGCTAATGAAGGTGAGGGAAAACCAAATTTTACCAGGGGTGTCACAGCTGCAGGTAGCAGAGCTGGAGATGTGGGACAAACCACACCGGTTAGAAAGGAGAGATGAGCTAGTGCATGAAGAACTGCAGTTCCAGTGTGAGTTAGGAGCAGACTCCTCACATGATCAGTTAGAAGAGGTTAAGAATTCAGAGATCACAGAGAATAATGGAAGCAGTGAAGGAGATAAGCTGTGTGAAGAACCCCTGTCAGAACTAGAGCTTTTCAGTGGTGATGAAGGTATGTTGGCTAAATATCTCATCTCCACAGAAACCCCAGAAGAGTCCTGTGTGTCCAGCACTTCAGAAGGTCATGCCATTGAAGAGGGTAGATGCAGTATGTATGGGTTAGACAATAGTATGCTTCTAGAACCCTGCAGAGATTTAATATCTCCTCCATTAAACTCTAGCCTTGAAGAGGAAACAGATCCGAGTGGTTTGGCTCAAGAGGCTTTTGAAGAGCCAGGGGTGGGAACCAAGACCTTTGTTTCATTTGTGCCAGGTAGCTTCCTGCAGCAAAACACAATGAGAGACCATGGGGACATAAGGGATGATGAGACAATGCTTTTAGTAGAGAGATGTGTGAAGCTGACTGAGCAGCTCCATCTGAAGGAGTCTGCCTTGAAGGTGTCATCTCAGGAGACCCAAGAAGCTGTTCGAAAATGGGAAAAAGCAATGGCTGAGCTCTCTCATATGTGTGCGAAACTGGAGGAGGAACGTGCAGCAAGGCTCTGTTCTGAAAAAGAACTCCTTAAAAAAACAGAGAATGAGAAGGATCTTGAGAATAAACTCATGTTTCTAGTAAAGCAGCAGGGCGAGGATGCAGGCCAGCCTCACTGTGCTGCAGAGCCTCTAACACATGTGTCAAAACCCTCTACATGGCAAGAAATGATCAAAGACCTCCAGGAGGAAAGAGAGATGTTGATGATGCAGCTGCGAACACAGGAGCAATTAGTTAAAGATGTTCAAGAGCAGAAAACAGCTTCTGATTCTGTGACGAGCGAAGTGCAGTCTCTCTTTGGCCGTCAGCTGGCTGCTGTGCAGAGTCAGAGGGATCAGATACAAAGCCAGCTTGATGCTCAGAAGGCTAAAAACCAGAGAATAGCAGAACTGCTTGGTCAGAAAACCATGTCTGAAGAGGTGTTGAAAAAAGAGCAGGAGTTGCTCAAAGCTGAACTGAATAGCAAAGAACAAAATTTAGCTCTTTTATTGAAGGAAAAAACAGCCTTAGGGGAAAGATTATCTGAAGTGGAGGAGGATGTGCTGAAAGCAAAAAAAGCCCTAGCAGAGAATACTGCCATCATTGAGGACCTTGAGAAAGAGATACATGTGAAGAACGCTGAAATGAAAAACCTCAAAGAAATGGAGGAGTGTGAGAGACTGAGCTATGAGGACAGGTTAAACCTCAGCAACCAAGAGATCCATAAACTCAATGCTGAAATGAAGGCAAAGAGTGCTGAGTACAGTGAGGAAAAAAACCAGCTGAATGAAGAAATCACCCGCTTGAGACAGGCTCGTCTGGAGCTTGAGGCTCGCGTGCAGGAGTCCTGTCAGGCTGCACAAGCTGCACAGGAGGCTCTGTCCCAGATGGAGAAACATTTCAAAGAGGAAATGGGTAAAATGGAGACTCAGCACCTTGCTGAACTAACTAAAGTGAGTTTGACACACCAGAGAGAGGTAGGAAACCCTGATAAGTGCAGGAGTCGGATTTCGGAATGCTTAAGGTAGCCATTACAAATGTTTGTGTGCCTGTTTTCAGATAGAAGAGTTAAATGCTGAAATAAAAGATAAGATGGAAAAGCAGCAGAAGTTGGAAGAAGAGAGAAAAGAACAGATTGCTTTAATCAAAAAGGTAAGTGCTGTGATTTGGTTTGGTTTGGAAAAATAAACTCACAGTGTGAACACTCTAGAGATGCAAAAATGTATCCTTTTTTTTCTTTTTTTTTCCATGGCGTCTTTGATTCGGGGTCAGGAGGAAAGGAGAATTCTGGTCTAGCAATTTATTAGGGCTAAACCAACTGTGTTTTGAAGAAACCTCTTCATCTGGGTATTCTCTGCAGGTCCATGAACGAGAGCATGGTCGTGAGATATCTGAGCTGGCTGCTAAACACGAAGAGGAAATGGAGAAGCTCCGTGCTGAGCTACAGAAAGAGCAGAGGCACCAGTTGGATGAGCTTCGGCAGCAAATGGCAGCCACGCACAAAGCAGAGCATGAGCAAGCTCAGCTCCAGTCCCAGGTGAAAGAAAGCAACACAGTGACTGTTGTGGTACTTACCTGACTGGTGATGGGCCCCGGTATGCACAGGGATCAAGGAGCCTCCTTAATTCTTGTGGCTATTATTTGTGCTCTTTTACATAGTGCTACAGCTGAGCATTGGGAGAGTGCTCTGCGTGGGTGGTGGTATATGTTTTCTGGGGGAGTTCTCCAGGATCCTCTGCAGTTATATGAAGGAAACTGGATCCTGAAATTGATGGGTTTAAGAAAAAAAACCAACCCAACTTTGTGATTTTTCATGTCTTGATAAGTTTAACAAGTAAATGTATAAAAAGTACTAAACTCCTCCTGGTTTTTAATTATCCCAGTAGTGTAATCAGGAATGTTTTCTTGCTAAGCTGAAATATGAAAAACCTCGCTTTGTCCCCTAAATATTTACTGTATTTTTGAACACTTCCACTAAATACAATGTGGAAGTGGAAAGAACATGCCTAGCATTACGTCTGAGTACCATCTGCTGGTAGACTGGCTAATTTACTGAAGAATTGATAAGTTTGCTTGGTCTCTTTGAGCTTCTGTTTTAACTCTTGGATATACCTCATGGTTTTTTTAATGAAGTGTGGTGAATTTTATTGGCACTGTTCCAATACCACTTCAGAGTGTTACTTTTCTAGCAAATTATAGCAAATAGAAAATATAACAAATTTTTAGTAGGCAGTGGGATGAGCTTGTGCTCTGCTGTGGTGTGAGGAAGTGTATTTTGTAGGCGATGAAGAGGCAGGTAAAGAAAACCTTTTACTTTGCACTGAAGATGTTATTCAAATCATGGAATCATAGAATTTTAGGGATTGGAATGGACCTTAGAGATCACCTAGTCCCAACCCCCTGCCCTGGGCAGGGACACCTCCCACCAGAGCAAGTTGCTCAAGGCTCCATCCAGCCTGGCTTTGAACACTGCCAGAGTTGGGGGCCTCCCTGGGCAACCTGTGCCAGTGTCTCACCACCCTCACAGGGAAAACTTCTTAATATCTAACCTAAATTTCCCTCTTTCTATTTTACCCATTGCCCCTTGTTCTGTCACTGCAGCTCCTTACAGAGTCTCTCTACAGCTTCCCTGGAGCCCCTTCAGATCCTGGAAGTTGAGTTTCAAAGCAATTTGGCAAACAGTGAGGTTAGAGCAGTGACCTGCCAGCCCTGAGCAGCAGGTCATAGCCCTATTTTAGGGGCTTCTTTAAGTGCTCTTGTGACAAAGAAATGCTCTCCAAGGACAGAGAGGCAAAATTTAGGTGTGTTTATCAGTTGAAACTGTAACTGTTCATGAAAAAAGTGAGCAGATTTTGTTACAGAGGAGGAAGAAACCCTTTTACTTCTCTATTACAGACTCTGCACAGCCTTGAACTGGAAGCTTTACGCCTCACCTTAAACAATATGCACACCTCCCAGCTGGAGCTTACACAGTCCAACTTGAGAAAGGAGAAGGAGACAGCCCTTGTGGAACTACGGGAGATGCTCAACGACAAACGTGCTCAAGAAGTAGCGATTCTGCAAAGCCGCCATCAGCTGGAGTGGGAGAAGGTCAAAGAGCAGTGTCTGAAGGAAAAAGAAGAGCTTAAGTCAAAGTATCAGCAAGAACTAGGTATTAAAATTGGGGAATAATGGACCAGAAATTGAAACCCCATAAGTCTTTTCTTCCTGCACAGGTTCCTGTCTTGGTGCAGAGTTGGCCTCTTGAGTGACAGCTGGTGTTGCCTTCAGTAGGGACAGGGGCTAGACTGCCATGTGTAAGAGTGCATGTTTTATGTATGGAAATGAAGTTGTGCAGACCTCAGTTTAATCTTTCTTCATCTGTGTGTGTGTTTTGCTTTTATGTCTGTGAAGTAGTGCTACACCAAACTAGCTGCTTTCAGGAGGCATTAGACCAAGCTCTCATGAAGAATTTAATCAGTACAAAGAGAGAGCTCATACCCTTCATGACTGTTGAGGATTTTTCTTACTCTAAGTCAGCATTCATATTTTCTTTCTGAGAAGATGTAGAAGTGCTTCCTAGTGTGCCCTCTCAGTGTTTTCAAAAGGAGGATAAAGGCATCAGAAAGGAGCGGAAAGGCTCACTGGGAACCTGTAGCTGGATATTCTTTGGGATGTGCTTGATGTAAGATTGTATTCTGGCATCAGCAAGAGGAAAGCTGCCCTTGATAGTCCTGAAGACCTGCTGATGGTGCTCTTGGCATTGTTTGGGAGATTTGCCTCTTCCCAGGTCAGAAGATCATTTCTGACCTGTATGGGAGAGCTTGGGGAATTTCTGGAGCAAGGTGAGGCTTGCAGCAGTTCACTGAAGATGGTTGCAGAACCAGAGACTGGTTGGGGGTTGGAAGGGACCTCTGGAGATGAAGTCCAAATCCCTGCTAGAGCAGGTTCACGCAGAAGAGGTTGAATGTCTCTAGAGAAGACACTGCAACCTCTCTGGGCAGCCTGTTCCACAGCTCTATCACCCTCACAGTAAAGAAGTTTTTCCTCATATTCAGGTGGACCCATGAGTGACATGATTAGCTTCAGAACCCCTGTTACACTCTGGGTCGCTGATCATATCCCTCTGAGCTCTGAAATAAGGTTTAGGAACCATTCCTTTAGTTGTCCCTTCCTAAGAGGAAGAGAACATTCATTTAGGGCTGTGTCTTTTTGACCTCAGAATAGGAAAAAACTTGTAACCACCAGGAATGCAGTGAAGTAGTGGCACAGTGGGATCTAGGAGCAGGAGGAGGTCTAGATGCAGTTATATCAATGCTGTTGACATGCATTTTGACAATATAAACTTGATATGAATGTTATCACTTATGAGTGCTTGGATATAGAGGCTGGGGAGAATCTGGCATCAGATGCTGCAGGAGACTTGGTGCGGAGCAAGTGGGTACTGTTGCTTGATGGGGGGAGAGATGTCTCTTGGGAGAGGCAAAGATCAGACATCACCCAGCTGATTTGTGTGCTGGGATACATTGTTACACTGTCTTGTAGCTTGGATGATACTTGTTTCTCTCCCGGCCCATTAGCTGGTTTGCTGGCAGTCTCTGGGTTCTTATTTGCCACAGAAAGACTTGAAACGTGGTTGCATATTTTAAATTATGAAATCATAGAATTCTAGAATCATAGGATTTAGGGGTTGGAATAGCCCTTACAGATCATCCAGTCCCAACCCCCTGCCCTGGACAAGGATGACACCTCACTAGACCAGGTTGCTCAAGGCTTCATCCAGCCTGGCCTTGAACACCACCAGGGTTGGGGCAGCCACCATGTCCCTGGGCAACCTGTGCCAGTGTCTCACCACCCTCACAGGAAAAAACATCTTTCTCACATCCAACCTAGACTTTCTCTCCTTCAGTTTGATCCCATTACCCCTTGTCCTATCACTGCAGTTCCTAACACAGAGTCCCTCTCTGGCTCCTTGTAGCCCCTTCAGATATTGAAAAGTTGCTCTGAGGTCTCCACACAACCTTCTCTTCTCCAGGCTGAACAGCCTCAACTCCCTCAGCCTGTCCTCACAGGGGAGATGCTCCAGTCCTCTTAGCAACTTTGTGGCCTCCTCTGGACTTGCTCCAACAGTTCCATGTCCTCCTCATGTTGAGAACACCAGAACTGTGTGCAGTATTCCAGGTGGGTCTCAGGAGAGCAGAGGTGAAGGATCACCTCTTTTGACCTGCTGCCCACACTCCTTTGGATGCAGCCCAGGATTGGATTGGCAAATAAGTAAGCTAGGGCAACAGTGTTTTGCAGCTATGGGAAAGTAGGAAGGGGTCCTGCACACCAAAAAGGACCAAAGAAGAAGCTGGAATGAATTGGGAGGAGCTGGGAAGGAAGAAGCCACTGGTGTCAGTGATAACTGAGCAGATAATGGTGTGTGTCTTGCAGTCTGTTTCCCATGCATTCGTGGAAGAAATGTCAAGAGTTTAGTACCTGCTACTCCTATTCTGTCCCTGGGAATGATTCTGTGATCATAGTCCTATGTAGTGAAAGGCTAAAATGCCATCTACTGACTTGAACTTGTGCCTCTAGGATGCTGGGTTTTTGGTATCATGTTCTCTGCAGGGTTAAGCAGGCTTTGCTAATTTTGCTTTCCTCAGAACTGAACCTGCTGAGTTGTCTTTGCAGCTGTAACTGCTAGGTGCTTGTTTTCTAAAATGGAAGTGAGTCACTGGGCTATAACACAACAGCAGGTTTGGGTAGAAGCTGCACCTTACCCTGCTCTGTGCCTGCCATTTAAGTCCTGAGTTTGATGTTGAAAATTGTGATCTCATCCATATTTCTACTTAGCATTTCATCATAACATTTTCTACAAACTTATTAACAAGTATTTTATTTCACAGTTGAGCAGAGAAAGAAAATAGAGTTGGAAATGGAAGAATCACATATCCAGGCATTAGAGGTACAAATTCTGTTCTTCCTACAAGAAAAAGTAAAGCTTGTTTCAGTAAACTAGAGCTGCTATAAGTCCCATTTCTGCTATACTCTTTTCTTCTCCATTTGTTTTACCTTTACAATAAGAGTATTACTGTACTAAACGTGTTTGCTTTAGTAATGCATGTGTTGCTCTCTTAGACCCTCAAAAGAGAATGGGAGTTGGAGTCTGAGACACGTTTGAAAACTAGGTGTGAAGAGCTGTCTGAAAAACATCAGACTGAGATGATAGAACTACAGAAATCTCTGGAAATGGATTTGGAAAAAGTCAGAGCAGAGCTGGGGCTGCTTTCTGTTGAGAACAAACAATCCAAAAGTAAGTACCATGGTCTGGGCAGCAGTTGTTTTATTCAAGAGTGACGTAGCTATGTGTTTCTCCAACCTGCATAAAAGCAAATACAAGATGTATCTGTGTGCTCTTACTTAAAACTGGGACAGTGCGTGAGGCTGTAAGTGAAAAGTTGTTTAGAACCTGGATAGCATTGTTGTGTTTGGACTTCCTCAGGGTGAGATGAATTAGGTTTTCTTTCAAGCATGTTAAAGGGGTGCTCTTCTGACTCCAGCTGAAACCCAGATTTGACTGCTGCAGTTCAGCAATTCTGATTAATGTAAGCTTCTTTTAGCAAAAACTCAGGTTTGAATGAAAAGTAGTTAAAGCTCAATGGAACAAAAGTTCCAAAAGCTGATTGTCTCTGGCTAAAAGTGTGGGTTGCAGAGAACTGGGAAGTACTGGGTGGAACTGACCTTCAAATACTTCACTGTTGCATTTTTGTGATTCCCTGTAAGCTAACATTGGAGCTAGAGACATGAAATTCTGATTTTGTTGCTGAAAAGCTATACAGGTTGTTCATTAACCAGGACAATGGAGTAACAGAGCTCATTTTAATTCTAGTAAAATGTCTAGAACTCGAGAGGCAGCACCAGGAAGCCATTACCAAGCTGCATGCTGAGCAGTATCAGCTCCTAGAAGAGACAAAGATGAAAAGCCAAGAAAAAGAACAGAATCTTCAGAAGGAGGTGAATTAAATCTCTTTAGTTGTTTAGAGTGGTTGATTACTCTCTCTATAACAAACTAGACCTTAATACCTGTCATTTGGGTGATGTGTTTGTATTTAGGGATGTTACTGAAAAACCAAAATGCCTCTCATGAAGCAGGTAAATACTCTGGGATTTTCCAGAGCAGTTCAGTAACTTAGGGCAAGTGCTGGGCCCTGCACTTTGGCCATAACAA